CCAGAGGTCATGGTTTGATCCCAGATCACCTGGCTCTACAGCTGAGCCAGTGGCTGGAGAGGCCTGAGCTCAGGGAGCTCCACTGAGGTCACATGCCTCTAATGGTTTGATGTTTAAAGTATTTCCTTGGTTATCTTGTTTTATTGTGCTGCGAACACTTACCAATGCAGTAGTTTTGCCTTTCTGTAAACCTTGTACAAATGGAACTGGGTGATAAAGATAATTATGTGTTTAACTCCAGTTGCACAATACAATATTCATGATTTTAACACTGTTTTGCATGTTTAACAAGTGCTGCTTTTTTCATTTTTGTATAGTAGTCCATAGCTTGAATGTGCGAATAAATGTATTCCTACGTTCTTTGTTGGAGGTTTCTTTGAAGGGGGGTTCCTTTTGCATGGTTTTGGGAAATATAAGCACTTCTACTGCAGACATAGTCCACATTTTCTAGGTTATAAACATTGACCTACAGTATGTATCTATCAAGGATAAAATTTTTTTTTCCACAAGGACCACTGGTTTAAATTTACAATGTCAAACTATTCTCTGAAATTATCTTGCCACTCTATATGCTCTCTGGTTGTTTATATTTACTAATTTCTTCAGTGTTACCAGCACTTGACAATGTTTAACCAATCTGATGACTTTGGCTTTTTGGTGTTTTTTGTTGTGTTTTTTAAAAAAGATTTTATGTGCCCTGACTGGGAATTGAACCTGAAACCTTTTATTTTGCAGGATGATGCCCAATGGAGTCATATCCTTCAGGGCTGATGACTTTAATTTGCATTTTCCTGATTGCCAATAGGTGGATTTTACCTCTTTAAAATTGTCCTTTGGGCCCTGGCAGGATAGCTCAGTTGGTTAGAGCACTGTCCCAATATGTCAAAGTTGCAGGTTCAATCCCTAGCCAGGGCACAAAGAGTCAACCAATTAATGCATAAATAAGTGAAACAACAAATTGATGTTTCTCTCCCCCCCATCCAAATCAATTGTCCTTTGGAATGCTTCTACAGTGACTCTACATGCTTTCTGCACTCATTAGCATTTGAAGTTTTTCTCATTAACTTGCAGGACTTATTAAATTTATTTACATACTAGCAATAATAGAGGATTCAAACATTTTCTCAAGCATGTGGCTTGCTATTTCAATTTTTGATTTTTTAATACTAGAAGCACTTTGGTGAAAATTAAAACTTATATACCACATGGCCCCAGAAAATTTTATTTAAAAACTTCCATTCTCAATTATTTTGTAAGCACCACCACAGTTGTAAATCAAGAATCTAGTGTTCTACTTTTTAACCTAAATATCATGCCATTAAGACACATCACTTAATGTAGACTTATAACATGCTTTATAGCTTTTCAATTATTTCCAACTTTACATATTAAAGCAGCTGTTATCAATTTCTGCCTTATAGTGTTTAGAAACTTCACTTATGAAACAATGTAAGATTTTCATTTCTATTAGAAGCCCCCCAAAATAATAGCAATCGTTTTGCAGTACCACTAAGTACTCCAAGTTAAGACTGTCGATAATAGATGTCTGCCATGAATATTTTATAAAAAAATTTTAGCCCAAAATGAAACCTACCAACGTTACCTTTCCATTTTTATTCCTATTGACTTATTTGAATATTCTCTCCAAGATTTCCATCTAGGTAGTCTTTATATAGGAAAAACACGTAGTAAAAAAAAATAAATAGAAGAACTGTACCAACTCTCTGTATTTATTTTTATTGATTTTAGAGAGGGAGAGAGAAAAACCTTGATTTGTTTCACTTATTTTTGCATTCAGTGGTTGATTCCTGTTAAGTGCCCTGAGCAGAGATTGAACCCACAACCTTGGCGTATCAGGATACCGCAACTGAGCTACCCATTTTAAATATACGGTAATGCTGCATCCATTTTTATGTTGAGAAATGTGAAGTAGATCCTATTCTTTCTCCCACTCTAGTTTTGGCATATTTTTCACTGAGCCACACCAGCCAGGTCAAGTTTTGGTGTATTTTTTCCTAGTACTTAGTCAATATGCAGGAGGTCAGGACAAGGCTCCCCTCCCAGGGGCTGCCTCCGTAACACCAACTGTATTTCCCAGAAGAATGTGCCCCGTAAGTGCCTAACAGCACTGAACTAAGGAAAGCCCAGAAGTGGGTTCTTTCTGTGAGTGTACCATTTAGGAACGGGTCTTCCAGTGTTTTCCTTGTAGTGGTGATTTCAGCTGCTTTTGATCCTGCTCACCCAGTCAGTGGGATGGCCTGATACTGGAGCAGGAGAGCAAGAGGTCTCTTCCGGATGACCTTCCAAGCCACCCAGCTTGAGTTCCCCAAAACCACTCCACATTCAGGGCGATGGCTGTGCTAATGCATCTGGCTGAACCCCACCCAAATCTTGAAGCCACCCTGCTCAGATCACTGCAGTTCAGGCCCGTCTCCAGAACAAGTAGGGTGTTCCTGGGTGGGGTCCCCATTTGTGAAAGGCAGTATGATGAAGTGTGGAAGAGGTGCAGCTGGAGTGACCAGCAAGCACAAAGCCTTGAAGTACGCTTGAGCTGGGAGCAGTCAGGAAACCTACTCCTGTCTGCAGGGGGCAGACTGTGCCTGCCATGGAATATGCCTCCCCAGCAGCCACTGTTGGGCTCCTGAGAGCCATGGAAGTTGGAACAGAGGAAGGAGTCTGAATTATGGTTTTCTTTTTTTAAAAAAAATTATGGTTCTAAAAGTATTCCAAATGTTGCTCAGGAAGTCATGATGGTGGTGGAAGGAAAGGAAGTTAGGAGGCCCCTTGAGTTTTGGTGTTGGTAGAGCAGATCTGCCTCAGCTGTCCTGTAGTGTGGGTTTTGGGGAGTTTTTTTTAGATTTTATTTATTTATTCATATAAAGAGGGGATGGGAGGGAGAGGGGGAAACATTGATGTGTGGCTGCCTCTTGCACGCCCCCAACTGGGGACCACTCAATCCACTGAGCCACACCAGCCATGGTAGTGTGTGGGTTTCTTGACTTCATACAGGGAAGATGTCACAACGTGAGTCTAGGTGATTTTGAGAGTACGTTTATTAAAGCTGGGGACAGTGAAACAAGGACTTACAGAAGCAACAGGAAAAGGAAAGTGAGCCTAGGTGGGGCTGCTTTGGCTCCCTGAAAAGTCAGAGAAGCGGGCACCTTGGAGGCAGGTTGAGGGGGTCAGCCTGGGACAGCTGCTGCCGCTGCCCATTGTCCCCCTGGTTGCAAGTCTCATGAAGTCCCTTAGGGTTTAGGTGGCACGCTGGGTCCTTCGTTTTGAGGGTTTTTAAAGGCTGGGAGTTTAGGGGAGGTCATATGGGAGGATTTCAGTAGGACATTTACCAGCTTTGTGCTGATGTGCCAAAATGAGATTTATTCCCTTAACTTTATCTGTCCTTGGGTGTGGCAGGCAAATGGCACTAACTGGATTTCTGCTACCTATCTAGCTGAGTAGGATGATTTAAGCTATTTACCCTCTGGTTGGAGAGAAGTGTAAACCATTTACTCCTAAGTGTCCATGGTCAGACAAGATAGGATTTTGTGATTTACTATGATGGTTGTAACCTGCTTGGGTGTTTAACTCTGTCTCAGTTTCCCTATTCCTCTTGTCCTGGCTTACTAGCCTGTCTCAGGTGGGCCAGGGAGGCGGGAGTAGAGTTGGGGTAAGTGCAGATTCTTGATAGAGCTTAAAGACAAAACTTACAGGTTTTCCTGTTACATCAGATGTGACTGTGAATGAAGGTAAGATGTAAATAACCACCCGATTTTTTTGGCCTGAACATCTAGAAGAATGGAAATGGGTAATCTGGTGGTAGGAACAGGATTCAGGGATAAAATTGAGTTGGATTTTGGGCATGGTGAATCTGAGATGCCCCAAAAGTGGAGGTGGCACGTGGACAACTGTATTCACAGGTCTGGAATTCCGGAGGCGCCCTGAAGCCTAGCCAAGCTTAGTGCTCAGACTGGGAGAGCAGAGAATCAGAGGCTTTACTCTCAGATGGATCCTGAAATGAGAGAGGAGAGGGATGAGGCTGAGGGCAGAGTAGAGCCTGAGTGAGGCAGACTCAAGAGGGGAGGGTCTACAAGTGGAATCCATCAGTAGGCCATACGGGACCCTGCCTGAAAATAATTGTGGAAATTTAAAACTGTATGGACTTAAAAGCTGTATGGCATTTAGTGAATGAAATTACACATTTGTGAAGATGCTAGGCCATCTGTCCATTAGAATTTAACACAATCTAGAGTTGGCTTGTTGATTTCTTTCACACTATTTAACATGCTCACCATTCCTGCGTATTTCTTGTACATTAGCTACGCTCAGCATCATGAAATATCAGGAACATGCAAAATCAGAGCAACATACTGCTACACATTTACTAAAAGGGTCAAAATTTTAAAAGGCTAGGCCTATGCACTATTATCAGGCCGTGGGAGAACTGGAACCCATATACACTATTGGTAAAATACAAAAGGAACCACCATTTTAGATGACAATTTGGTTTCTTAAAGTTATACATTCACCTACATTCTGACTCAGGTATCGCACTTCGAGGTATTAACATGAGAAAGGAAACATCAATATGAACTTTGTCCAATTTCTGCAATGGCCAAAATCAGAAACAATTAAAATATCCATAAGCAGATGAATTATGGATATTTAATATTAGAAACAATTAGAATTTCTGTAAACAGGTGGTACATTGATGTAACACGCTTATGAATATAAAAAGAATGAACGACTCAGGTAAGCAACACTGATGAATAAATACGCTACATGAGAGCACCCAAGGGAGACTAAACACTGATTCAATCGTGTAAAATTTTAGAAAATGAAAACCAATCTATTATTGCAAAATGCAAATCTCGCTGCCTGGAAGACAGTGATTATTAAAGGACACAAGGTAAATATAGGGGTGATGGAAAGGTTTATTGTTTGATGGTTTCAAAGGTTTACAGGAATGTCAAAATTTATAAAACTGTACAATTTAACTGGACAGAGTACTGCATGTTGTTTATACCTTATTAAAACTTTAAAAATAGGTTCAAATTAAAGTTTGGATTTCTTACCCGTTAGAAAGTCAGGTCTGGCAAATGAAATGACTCCACAGTCTCTCTCCTCATGAGGGGGACACTTGCCTCAGTGGCAGCAAAAATAAGGGAGCACTGAAGGCTGTTTCCACTTCACTCACAGGAACGCTGACTGGGTCACAAAGACCACATCGCTGGACTGAGGTCTCCTGTCTAGTGTTCCTGCACAGCAGTTACCTTAGGTAAACAGCCCAGAGAGGCCACAGAAACCCACAAAACCTTTAGATTTTTCTCTGACAGGACCTTAGCTACACAAGATACATAGTTTCTGGAGGGCCTGAGAATGTCTGTACCCACTCATCCTTCACAGCCATAGGTACTAAACACTGTAGACCTTTCAGAAGAGGTGCATTCTTTATTAAAAAAAGAAAAAAAGTTTTTAAATAAATAAAAGAGCATGCTAACCAGTTTTGCAGCAGTCTCCTCCACTCTGTTAATCTATTATTTCTGTAACAATGACTATTCTTCTGGACCCCATAATCTTAAAACCAGTGACATTGTCCCAGAGAACTCAGGACATCAGGGCCCGTGGCTCCACTGCAGGACCTGTGGGACAGATGTCCTGTCACCAGTGCTGAGCACAATACAATAGCCTCTGTGAACAAGGGCTGTTCAGAAGCACTGAGGGCTGTCACAAGGACCCCTTCCTCAGGCTGAACTCTGAACCTACAAAAGTCATGGCATCCAAGCTACACAATAGGACCCCAAAGCTCTGCAGTCTTTCCTTAAAGGCTTTGAGCAGCAATGTAAACTAGGTCAAAATTGAAGAGGTATATTCTACCATCATACAATATATACACTCTTAGGCAAACAGTTTGGGATCCCAAACAAAGCTGTTCACGCCTGCATTCTAACAAACCCCAGTGAATTTCAAGGCACCTGAACAGTGACTAGAACCCCCAAGACTAAGACCTTTATTGTCATACAAACAAGAGCAATGTTAGGCACAATTCCTGGGTTGGTGATGTGGAGGCTGGAAAATGCCATCACAGAAGTCATGTGAGACCAACAATATCCCTGAAAAATGTAGTCTATCTTTTCAAAAGCCCAACAGAGTCCTCTAGGCTAAAACGAGGTAAGGCCCACTCGCTAATTCATCAGAGAGGAAAAAACTGGGTAAGATTAAGTGCTCAGGCTACTCATGAATCATTCTGCTAATGAGAGCACACTGGGGTTTATTTCCCTGAACATTTTGGGATTGATAAACATTGCATACCCTGGGCTCCAGCCAGGAGGTAGAGATGAAATGGCTTCTGCTACAAACTGCCAGTGACATAAATCTGGCCATGGCCCTGGACAGGTTAAAAAGTGCAATGCAGTTCCCACATACCTGGGATTTATGTGGATGTTCACATGTATGAGGCTCAATACAGGCAAATGGCACCTTCATAAAGAATCTCCTCCAGTGCCGGCTCACTGAACAGAGATATAGTATATACCTGTGCAGTTAAGGCAGTTCTCCCTTTGAAATCTGTGGTATCCAATATGGCAAGTCCTTCAATTGAACGCTGTCTCTTATTCACTGCACTTACAAGACCTTTCTCTACTGTGAATTCTCTGGATGTAAGATAACAAGGCTAGACTTTGGTAAATAATTTCTCACACTGCCACTCAAGGCTTTCATCCAATGTGATATGGTGTTTTAGGAGCCTGGAGTGGCAGGTAAATAACTCCCCACATTCCAGTACTCCTAAGGTCTTTATCCAGTGTGAATTCTCTGGTGTTTAATGAGGCTCGAGCTATGGCTAAAAGATTTCCCACATTCGCTACACTCATAAGGCCTTTCTTCAGTGTGGATTCTCCTGTGTTTGATGAAACTAGAGTTTTGAGTAAAGGATTTTCCACATTCACTGCACTCGTAAGGCCTTTCTCCAGTGTGAACTCTCCGATGCTGAAGAAGCGCAGAGCTTTGGCTAAAAGATTTCCCACATTCGCTACACTCGTAAGGCCTTTCTCCAGTGTGGATTCTCCTGTGTTTGATGAGACTAGAGTTTTGAGTAAACGATTTTCCACATTCACTGCACTCATAAGGCCTTGATCCAGTGTGAACTCTCTGGTGCTTTAAGAGACTAGAGCTGTAAGTAAAGAATTTTCCACATTCACTGCACTCGTAAGGCCTTTCTCCAGTGTGAACTCTCCGATGCTGAAGAAATGCAGAGCTTTGGCTAAAAGATTTCCCACATTCGCCGCACTTGTAAGGCCTTTCTCCACTGTGAACTCGGCGGTGTTCAATGAGGCTGGAGTTCTGGGTAAAGGATTTTCCACATTCACTGCATGTATAGGGCCTTGATCCAGAGTGAACTCTCTGGTGTTTTATGAGACTGGAGTGGTAGGTAAAAAACTTCCCACATTCACTGCACTCATAAGGCCTTTCCCCAGTGTGAACACTCCGGTGTTGAAGGAGTGCAGAGCTTTCACTGAAGGACTTCCCACATTCACTACACTCATAAGGCCTTTCTCCAGTGTGAATTCTTCGGTGTTTAATGAGGTTGGACTTGTTGCTAAATAGTTTTCCACATAAGTCACACTCATGAGGCCTTGCTCCAGTGTGAACTCTTCGGTGTTGGATGAGGCTAGAGCTTTGCCTAAAGGACTTCCCACATTCTCCACACTCATAAGGCTTTTCCCCAGTGTGAACTCTCCAATGGTCATTGAGGCTGTAGCTTTTGCTGTAAGACTTTCCACATTCACTGCACATGTAGCATCTTTCTCTGGTGAAAACTCTCTTGTGTTCAACAAGTGAGCGTTTGCAATTGAAGTTTGTCGTGTATTCTCCAGAGTTATATACAGCTTTTCCCCTGTGAGAAGCTGCCCCGCACTCCATTCTCCTGCTTGACTTCTCCTTGGTGCGTGTGGACTGATGTTGGAGAAATCCTGAGCTGGCTAGGAAGTCCCTCACAACCTCCCCACAGGAAAAGGGCTTCCCTGACACACACAATTTGCAGTCCTTTACAACTGATGCTCTGCCCATGTTGCTTCTGAAGCACTTCTCTCCCGTGTGCTGCTTATGATGCTGAAATTCTGCACTGACATACAACTGTTTCTCACATGCCCCCATCCTGCAGAGTTTCTGCCCATGATGTGTTCCCTGGTGCTCAGTCAAGTGCAAAATGTCTCTCAAGTCCACACCACACATCTCACAAGGATGGGCCTTCTGGGGAGACACACCTGCCTTGGAAGTCCAAACCTGTGACACTCCTTGTAAAAAATCACAGTGCTCAGAAGGTGCCTTCTCATTCTGGGATCCATGCCAACAACCTGAAAGCAAGAAGTGCTGGTCAAGTGCATGCTTCCTTTGGTTGGAGGGGGCAGCACATGTGTGCGTCTGACAAACCCAGGAGCAAGCCTGTGGCACTGTGTGCAGGACCAGGATATTGATTTAGGTTGAAGATCGGGCTGGTTAGTAGTATTGGGCTATTCAGAGCACAGGATGGGGGAAGGCCTCATGAGGTGAACGACACAACCATGCAGTGTGACAGAGGATAGGCAGGGTCTACTGTTCACTTTACTACCAACTTTCCAAAGTAACTTCTCTACTGGTGATACATGAATGCTGTGTAGAAGGGTGTATCAAGACCCAAGAAACTACAACTACAGCAGGGGAGCTGGTGTTCAAGGACTGTTTAGGAATAGGTACACCACTCAAGACAATGCACAGGGGCCAATGAGGAATGCACTGCAGATGGAGTGGTAAGAAAAAATGGGTTAGACACAGTATGTGGCCATAGGTCCTGGCACCAAAACACTAGTCCAACAGAATAGGTGTCTGGTATGATTTGAACACAACAGTGACCTCACACCCTCCCCCAGGTGCCACTCTTCAGAGCCAGGCTCCCTCTGAGCCCATTGTGCTATATGTAGATGGCCTCATCCTGAGAACCACTGCTTTCCAACCCAACCCAACTTCAATGAGCAAATTCACGGCAGCTTATACAAGGGAAGGGCAGCACAGATGAGGAGCCAGCACTGGCCCAGAACAATTCAGCACATGATAGCCAACAGAAAATAAAACTAAATGCTACACAGAGAACTTCGAGAGCCTTGCAAGAACAGGCTGTGGGCCATATAAGAAGTAATCATGTCAGTGATGGCAATTCCTGGCACAGGCAGGCCTGAGGAAATGTCAGCTAGAGGAAGGAAGCAGAACCTGGACACACAGGGGCCTTGGATCCGGACAAAAAATCACTTGGTCAAGAGGGCAAGTAAGGTGTTATCAACTAGGTTTACTAGAAGACTCCTGACCCTGATTCCTTCCCTGCAAGTCTGCAGAAAAACAAGTGTTGGGGCTGCTTAACGAAGGAGAGTGTGGAGCACACACCTCAGCCCAATAACCACAGCACCTTCCCTGGGACCTAGGGAAGGAAGCAGAGCTCATGGTCTTGCTGTGAGGACAGACCTGCTTGCTCCTGGGGAAGAAGGGAAGGGTAGAGACTACTAGTTCACGGCACAGGGGTGAGTTTGAAAACCTTACCCAAGGAGGTTACAAGTGCCAAGTTCTCCAGCATCACATCGTGGTATAGATGTCTCTGAGCCTCATTAAGTAGATCCCATTCCTCCAAGGAGAAGTACACGGCCACATCCTCAAAGGTCACCCTGCCCTGGCATGATGGGGACAGATGAAACCACAAAAGTTCCTCTACTGAGAACCCACAATCCCTTCCCCCCAACATCTACCCTGTGCCCATCCTCCTCCCAATATCCCCAACTCAAAGGACAAGCCAAGCCCTGGCTCCATCAGTGCTGTTGTCTCCTCATGGGCTCAGGGATGACAGGGTCCAGCCATCAGCAAGGAGGCATATGGATAAGCAGATATCCAAGTTATGAATCTGCATAGAGGGCTCCCCCTACTCATGCCAGGCTATTCTGCTGGTGTGGCTAAGCTCAAATAAGTCTTGATACCAGGTCCCTGGAGTTATCAGGCATACTCCCCTCCAAGAACACATAATTCTTGGGACTGGATCCCACAGCCACATGCCTATGCCTATGGTCACCACCATCTCACTGTTCCACACCTAAGGCATCTTCCTGGCCTCCCCACATGTTACTTGTATTTTAATCACTTCCTCTTCACCCCAATGGTGAGCGTAGGATTCCCATCATTGGGTTATACGGATGGCCAAACACACAACACCCGACTCTGTACAAAGGCAATGAATATCACAGTCTGGGAGAGGAGGTCACCACACAGGGCCACCTGCGGGATGCATCCTGAAAAAGAGTGAACAGCAGTAGCTCAGGTCCCACCAAAGTCCCCATAAAACCCTGGTGGAGTTCACAGAGTGGTGGGTGAATGAGCACTACCATGGACCTGAGGGTCATCTTGCCTTCATTGCTCCTAAGCTGCTGCGTCCATCTCACGTCTACTCTCTCCACTGGAAACCCTGGCCACCTGCCAGACTGTCCTGTTCCTGACACACTCCCCTTCCATGGCCACTTACCTCCCTCAACTGTGTTTCAATACCGTTGCCCAGGTATCCAAGCAAAAGAGCCAGTTCTGAGCCCCTAACCTCCCCATTTCCTAACACAGTTTTACCACCATAACCATAAAAACACTCCTAAAAGTGACCCAAATCATTCACTTTGGCCCACACAACAACCATGACATTTTAGATGTATCCATCTTCAACCCTTCCCCAGATTTCCAGACCTGTGTTTAGCTGCTCACTTAATGCCTCCACATAGTGCTCCCACCCTCAAATCTCATATAACATCCTGTATCTCCTGTGAATATTACTTCTACCAACTTCATGTTTTAAAAAATTTTTTTTTAAATTTATTTATTTTTAGAGAGGAAGAGAGGGAGGAAAACATCCATGTGTGGTTGCTCTCGTGCGCCCTACTGGGCACCTGGTCCACAACCCAGGCCTGTGCCCTGACTGGGAATCAAACCAGTGACCCTGGGTTCGCAGGCCAGTGCTCAATCCACTGAGCCATCCCAGCCAGGGCTAACTTCCTCATCTTAAGTGGATGGAGCTTCCGTTCTTAGCAGCTGCTGAGAAAACCCCTAGGATTATCTGAGTCCCTTTTCACACCCTCACAGTCCATGTTAGAAAACAGGTGGCCCCCACCACAGGTTGATTCCCGGCCAGGGCACATACCTACATTAAAGGTTTGATTCTCAGACACGGCTCATATGGGAGCTAACCTATCGATGTTTCTCCCTCCCTCTAAAATCAATAAGCATGTCCCCCAGTGAGGATTAAAAAAAAAAAAAATCTTAAAAAAAAATACACATCCATAATGCAATCACATCTCCTAAACCACGACTCTGTTCGATTAACCCTCGGCTGAACTATGGCAATAGCCCCGCCCCGATCTTCCTTTTTCCTCTCTTAACCCCAATCTCTAATGATAGTAAAGCCAGAAAGACCCAGGTAAGACTTCGGGAATATCTCCTCCCCGCTCAGAGTCAAACCCTGCATTAGCGCCAGAATAGACACCCCACCTCTCAGGTAGCCATTCCAGCCCTGCCTCCTGTCCCCCTGCCTTAGCTTCAAAAAAACGAGACCACTCTTGGCGTGGGCTTAGGACCCTGCGCTTAGGGTTCCTCCAGATTCTCCCCGCCCAAAACCGAGGACAGTACTTCACGGTCGGAAAACACACATTACAGAGAATACGTGGGTGGGGGTCGGGTCCTGGGAGGGAGGGAGACACCCTCCCCTTTCCTGTGGTTCCACGACCGCGTCCGCAGCCGGGACACACGTGGACAGAGCGCGGCAGGCCTTGGAGAAACAAGTTCATGGCGGGTTCCACGGGCTCAGGCGAGCCGGTCCTCCGCGCCCTGAAGACTGGGCCTCGAGCCGGCTGCTTCGCCTCGGGCCTCAGTGCTCAGCTCATCCTTTACCAGGGGCTCCTCAGCTTCTGACCGCCTCCCACCTCGTGACACCGTATCACCCTCGAGCGCCTCACGGTCCCGGACGCCGGGGCTGGGGCTGCAGGACGTGACAGGCGCCCGGCACCCGGGGCTGCAGGGCTCGGTGGGCGGAGGAGGGAGGGCCCGGGGTCGCGCACTCACCTCCGCCGGGAGCCTCAGCGCGGCCGCCGCCATCGGACTCTGTAGGCGGAGCGGGGCGGGAGCGGCGGCCGAGAAGGGAGCACGGGCACGGGGGCTCCGGCTCTGGCCCCGCCGTGGGTCACACAGGCAGCGTCGCCGAGCCTCACAGCGGCCACTGTGCGGCGGGAGCAGACTGTTGAGCCTTCTGAACCCGGCACCTCCACCCTGTCTCCACGGTCGGGAGCCTCCGGCAGTGAACAAAACCAAGAGCAGCTAACATGGCCGCCAAGACAGAACCAGAAGTCCCGCCCCCGCAGAATGAGCCAACACGGAGTCTCCTTTTCCTAAATTCTCATTGGGTAGCGATGCTGCCGCTCGTCTCTGAGCCTTCTGGGTAATGTAGTCCCCGCAGAGTCAAAATTCAGAGACTAATGGGTTTATTGCCCAAAAGGCTATATGCTCGCCTGGGAGGAGCATCGGGGCACCGCACGTCTCGGTAGGTTGGCTTCACCTCCTCTTTAAGAGGATCTTCATCATATTTCTGCGATGTGCTCTCTGCAAACGGTCATCCAGATTATGGAGATACATTATTTGAGACTTCGAAGCTCAGCATGCTCCCGGAGGTTAAAGATTTCTTAAAATTGTATTTTATTGATTATGCTATTATAGTTGTCCCAGTTTTTCCCTCTGTGTCCTTCTCCATTCAGCATCCCCCACTCCCTCAGGCCAGCCCAACACCTTTGTTCACGTTCATGGGTCATGCATGTAAGTTCTTTGGCTTCTTCATAACCTATACTGTACTTTACATCCCCATGACTATGCTGTAACTACTAATTTGTGCTTCCTAATCCCTTCAGTTTTTCATCTGTTCCACCAATCTCCTCTCCCATTTGGCAGCCATTAAACCTTTCTCCATATCTATGATTCCTTTTCTTTTCTGCTCGTTTGCTTAGTTTTTTGGCTTCAGTTGTTGATAGATATAAATTTATTGCCATTTTATTGTTCATACTTTGTTCTTTAAAAAAAAAAGATTTTATTTATTTATTTTTAGAAGGGAAGAAAGGGAAAAAGAAAAGGAGAGAAACACCAATGTGTGGTTGCCTCTTGCACGCCCTCAACTCGGGATCCAGTCCGCAACTCAGGCATGTGCCTGACTGGGAATGTAACCCGCAACCCTTCGGTTAGCGCTCAGTCCACCGAGGCACACCGGACAGGGCTGATCTTCTTTTTCTTAAATAAGTCCTTTTAAAATTTCATATAATAATGGTTTGGTGGTGATGAACACCTTCAGCGTTTTGTTGTCTGGGGAGCTCCTTATCTGCCCTTTGGTTCTAACTGATAGCTTTGCTGGATAGAGTAATCTAGGTGGTAGGTCCTTGCTTTACATCACCTTGAATATTTATTGCGAATCCCTTCTAGCCTGCAAAGTTTCTTTTGAGAAATCAGCTGACAATTTTATGGTAACTCCCTTGTAGGTAACTACTTGCTTTTCTCTTGTTACTTTTATGTTTCTCTCTTCATCTTTAACCTTTGGCATTTTAATCCTGATGTGTCTTGGAGTGGGCCTTTTTGCATCCGTTTTTTTTTGGACTCTCTGTGCTCCCTGGATTTGTGTCTACTTCCTTCACTAAATCAGGGAAGTTTTCTTTCATTATTTTTTCAAATAGATTTCCAATTTCTTGCTCTTTCTCTTCTTCAGGCATCCCTATGATGAGAATGTTGGTGTGCTTGAAGTTGTTCCAGAGGCTCCTTACACTATCCTCATTTTTTGGATTCCTTATTTTTCTTGCTGTTCTGGTTGGTTGTTTTTTGCTTCCTTATGTTCCAAATCATTAATTCGATTCTGTTTCATCCACTCTATTGTTGTTTCCCTGTAAATTGCTTTTTATTTCAATTAGTGTATCCTTCATTTCTGACTGGAAGGTCAGAAGCATGAATCAAAATAAGTCATTCATATGGAAAAGCCACTGTTAATCACCTGGGTGGGCCCATCAGTTGGGTGGGACAGAGTCTCGGAATCACTAGGGCAGGGTTAACAGTGTGAGCAAAGTTGACAGAATCTCAGATTTGGTGCCCACCACAGTCTGTGGCTCTATGGGGGAGGGCTCAGAAGAGGAGCAATGGCCTCTGCTAGCAGTTTTATTTTGGAGAAGGTTGTCCCTCCGCTCTTGCTTTGATGCCAGACACTTCAGGTCCTCACTGTGTGCTACTGGTGCCTTTCAAACTGCTGCCCTGGTGCTGGAGCTCAGCAGGAGTGAGTTTGAATAGGTCTATATGCAGGCCCTTTAAGAGGAACTGCCTGGTAATCCAGAAATTTCTTCCACCAACCCAGTCTCCACTGGTTTTTACAGCCTGGAGCCATGGGGACTTATCTTTCTAGCATGGGAGCCCCGGGCTGGAGGGCCTGGTGTGGGGTGGGACCCCTCACTCCTGAGATATCCCTTCCGATTTTTATCTGCCACACAGGGGTGCAGGACGAGTCTGTTCTGTGTCCTCCTCCTACCTGTCCATATAGATGTGGTTTCTTCTTTAATTCCATCATTGCAGGACCTCCATTCAACCCAACTTCTGTGGGTCTGAGTGATGGTGGTTCTATACTTCAGTTTTAATTTGATGTGGTTGTGCAAG